TCACAAGGGTGTTTTTCCCAATGGCTTTTTTATTTCATAATGACACTTTTTAGCAGAATGACTTTAACTTTCAATTATCGTCACAGGGTTGGTCCTGCACACCCACTGGCTGATCCTTGCATATCAGTTAGTTTTCCTGAATACCTGCTCACTGCAAACTTGCATAACTAGCAATGACTCGCTAGGTCAAGGGCCACAAAGCATGGCACAGCTGCATGCTATGCTACATTTATCTGGGCTGCAGCTTTAGTTGGAGCTACTRCAGCCTCATGCATAGCATTACAACTTTAGGCATAATTTAATATCAGTATGTGATTACTTTTAACTGGGTAAAGGTAACAAACAATTAAACAATTGGCTCCACCTTGTTTCTCTTGATTGACAGTTTAAGTCATTCCACTGAAGTATTATTTTGAAATAAATAAGCCACTGGGGAAAACACCATTATGAAATAAAAGATTACATTGTGAAAAAAGCATTCCAGAATAAAAACTGCTGGAATCAGATAAAAATGCCTCAAAAATAATTTATTGGGGAAAATTTCAAATTTAAATAATGTTTTGTATTAATGTGAACATTTTCATGATAATGTTTTTTTGTATATCGAATATGTAAATAGTGCTACAAACTGGCACACCATGGCTTCTTATACTTATACTATGCATTAAGTTATTTCACAATTACATTATCACAATATTTATTCATGTAGATGCTTATTTTATAATATTCTACTTATTTATTTCATTATGAACACTTCTGTGTTCCGTAGTTGAGATATGATCAACAAGTGAAAGCTGGGGTCATCAATCTTTCATCTAAATGTCAGAATATTTTGAAGGGTCTTAACAATAAGTGGCTGTTGGAAAATTTGAAATTGTATTCAGTTTAAATTGATCTGGCAATTGATCTGCACCAGTCTTGAGAAGTGAATTTGTTTTTTCATGTTCACATCACAGTTATCCAAGCAGAGATGCTGATGTGAGGGCAGTATTGATACATATGCACCAAAGCTGTACCGAAAATCGGTTCATAAACATAAAAATGAAAATGAGCAAGACAGATTGACAGACAAGTCTGATTTCAAATACTATCCAGGGATTGACTTTGCACAGTTTGCCAGCTCAAATATGCCAGAAGATTAGGCCTTAAGTCCTGTACCCACCCATTTGCAAACTGCAAAACAGAGCCAAGACATTTATAATCCTTGAAATAAAAAATAACACAAGTGTGCACCTGCCCAAATCAATCAGAATGGGTTAAGTCCAGGGTTAAGTACTCTGCAGTTTGTGGTGCCAAACAATCAGATTGTATTGTACAATTATGTGGCACATCCAAAAACATCTAAGGGTATTCATCTCTCTCAAAAAAAAAAAAAAACTAAAACATCAAAGTGGAGAGTTTCTAGACAGCAAAAAGCTAAACATCATCTCATATGAAAACACAAACCTTTGTGTGACTCTCACCAAGGTCTTTTCTATTAACTTTATTGTTTAGTTTAGAATTAATTTTAGTTCCTACACACACATAAAACTGAGGCCCTGTGGGTCATTTTGACCCAATGGCAGCAGGAAGGTTAAAATTAATTGTTCTGCTTTAAAAAAAGTAAAGGATATGTATCTTCCTTTTTGTTAAAATCAGTATTAATCTAGGTACACAAATGGCACAACTGCATCATCTAATTTGTTCAAAAGCTCAAATTTGTTTGAGCTATTGTCCATTTTCTAAGCAAAGTTGACAAATAATGATCACATTATAGGACAATCAACACACTGAGAATAAGAAAAAACATCCATCCATTCTCCATACCTGCTTAATCCCTAGCAGCATTCAATCCCTGTGCTGCATAGAGATGACCTATCATGTCACAAAAGGGGCAATTTAGAATTGATGGTCAGCCTAACACATTTGGTTTTATGTGTTGACAGCAGAGGTACAAAAAATCTTCATGAGGTCAGAGGGCTACTCTTTGGTAGAAGTGTCAACACCTTGAAAATGATTAGAAAACAAATATGAAAACAGCCCCGGTTTATTTTAGTAAAAAAATGAAACCACTTCTTTATTTAAGTGACATCTCTGCAATCTTCACTGCTGAATGTCAATGAATGTGGGGATCTTTGAACAGAGGAGTGGAGATGGCTTCACTGTGGAGAAAGTTAATTCTAAATACCATCTGTGCTCTTACTATTTTGTACTTGTTTTTTTCTCCTTTGCTTTAGTTTTTGTTTGATTCTGTACAGAAAGGCTGTCAAGTGTTAATCACAGCACCCCATCGAAAAACTA